TATATATATATATATATATTATTTTAAAAATTACAATAAAAAAAAAACTCATTTTTAATACACATACTTAAAAAATTATATAAAAATTTCCTTAAAAGTATTTTTTTTTAGTTTATATAGATAGGTCACAGAAAATATTACAAAAAAATTAAATCACTTTCTTTATATATATATAGTTCAACACTTGTTTCTAACAATTTACATTTAAAAAATTAAATAATAGATTTTTTTTACAATATATCATAATTAGTAAATATATATATTTATATAAAATTTTTTCAAAGAGTGTAACAGTTTGGGTTTTTTTTCATTTGTGTAGACATAGAATAAATAAAATAGTATTTTTATTTCTTATAATAATATTTCTTTTATATATATATTTTAAAAATATATTCTTGTATAGATATATATAGTTATTTTTAATTTGTTTTATGTATAAATAATTATTATTTTTGTTTGTTTGGTTTTTTAAAACAGTTTTCAACTTGAGTTCGTTTCTTTTTCATGTGTGTGTGTGTGAAATTATGTTGTTGTATATAATTGTTTGAGCTTATTTTTGCTTTGTTGCTTTATTTTTTTATTATTTATTATATATTTTTAATAAATATAAATATATATTTTTGTGTATATGAATGTTAACAGTTTGTAGATTACAAATTTTAAAAATTGTTGTAAGAATTCGAAAAAATGAAACATTTTCATTCATAATTACGTCTGTGATTTCGAATCACAAAAAGTTTGTAGACAGCTGATTGTTCCATCAATTGTTCTACTTCATCTATCTGACAGCTGATTGAACCATCAGCTTAACCTATATTATTGAATCCACTTAACAGCTGATTACAGCATCAGCTGTTCTGCTTGATCTAGTTTTTAGATCTGTTGCATATTTAATTTTCACAATTATTGTTTTTTTTTTTTATAATCCGAAATAAACATTTTCAACATCTTACAACAATTTATAAAATTTTAATCATTCGCATTTTTGGACCTTAAATTGTTATGTTTTTTTATTTTCCATTAAGTCAAACAGAATAATAACTAATGGATCTTGTGCAATAGATTTTGCTTTCATGTAAATGTTTTTCAAATATTTTTTGTATATTTTGTGTTCTATTCATAATAAATATTATTAATAATATTATAATATAATAAAATATTATTAAATATTTCTTATATTTCTTTTATATTTTCTGCTATATGACACTTATATAAAAATAATGCTGTTTTACTTTTAATAAAAAATGTTATTATTTGCTATAAATTTTGTCAGGTTTTCATAATATTTTTTATATTTTTCTCAGGTTTTTAAATTTTAATATTTTAACGGCAAGATGAGTACAAAAATAAAAATGTGTAATAAGTTATGAATATTTGCATTTTATAAACTGTTTGTTCATTTATAACGAATATTTTAATTTAATATTCCAGTGTTTTTCATTTCGTGTTCTATTTCTTGTTTAAAAACTGTTATTTTTATTTATGGGTATTAGGTACGTTTTTAAAAAAAATCCTTGTAATTTGTGGTCCTTTTTTATTGGGTAGATCTGCGTATGGCAATTTGTTAAATCTGTGCAGGATGTTATGTTAATATGACAATATTTAACATATTAAATTCATTTTAAAATGCTAATATTAAGTTCAGTTACTTTATTTTGACGTTGACTGTAATTTTTCATCTTAACAATTCAGTTACTTTCTTTTGATGTTAACTGTAATTTTTCATCATAACAATTGTAGGGATTTATAGATCGATGTCGTGCATAATCAATTAACGACATATCGGAGAGTTAATGAGTTCTTTTTACTCTTTTTAGTTCATTTTGTTTATTTTCAAAATTGGATTTCGAGTGTTAACTGTACGTGCAATTATGAATAAGTTGTCAGCTATTATAAAAATACAGTTTGCCACAACCTGCTTCAATTCCAAGGTATATGACTAGATTAAGACAATCGATACTGATAAAGTTCTAAATCCGTTCAAAACATTTCAATACTGATTGCATTACAAAAATAAAAATGATCTATACATTGTAGAGTCCTTAATCCAGATAGAACTCAAATATGAACACTATAAGAAAACAGCTGATCTTCATGATCGATTTATACTTTTGCTGCGCAAGTTCAAAAAAATGTTATTAAAGATATTCCAATTTATAAACAAGTCCGAATTTATGTTGGACAATTTAAATTGTCTCAATTCTGTAGTTTGTATGTGTGAGAGTGGTTTAATAGTCGAACTAAATCATGCTTTAACTGTGGGGTAACTTGAGAATAGGAAAAATACAACTCTGTTGTCAAGACTTATTGACATCGAAATTTTAATTAATAATTTTAGAAGTAAAACTCAACGATTAATAATGGCGAAATATTAAATGAAATGAGACTCTGTTCCAGAACCTACAAAAAGCTTGTATTAATTGTTAAAATTGTTTTCGATTTCAAAATCAGCACTGGTCGAATTTAAATGTTTGCTCGTGGTTCGGTTAACTATTGCATTACTCTGAGCTTGGTTCTTGTGACTTTTTGGTGTCAAAACTGCGAAGCTACTCTTTGATGATAACATAAATATTTTTCTTTTGTAAAGAGACAATCATTCATCGGCATTATTAGCAAAATAATCCATTCGATGTATTCATTAAAACAATTGAACTGAAACCCTTAGTTCTCGAACAAACTAGTGAAATTAGAGTGGAATGAACTTCGGAATGAACTGTACTAGAAACGGGTTTTTCATTCATCTAGTTTCTTTTGCTAATGTCGTTAGAGTGGAACGAACTAGTTTCAAGGGACTATTTCGAATGAACTGTACTAGGAACAATTCTTTCGTCAAGTTTCTTTTACTAAAATCATTCCTTTTTGCTTTAGAGCTTTTGAACTATAATGAACTATGAAACAAAACTGAATGGCCTAATTCCTTTTGCGAAGCGAATCGCTTTATGAACGAGATTACCCAATTCTGAAAAAATAGAGAAAAAACACTCTACTATTCGTCCACACAAAACCTGATAAAACTATTCAAGTTTTCATAAAAAAATCGAAAATTATTTTAATAAATATGTGATTCTTACAGGTTCTAGACTCCTTTTTTCAACATTCCTGGATTATTTTTCGAATAAAAATAATGCTTGGGCAAAATTTGACTTGTGGATTATTGTTTATAACGATTCGTTTATTCTATTGATTTGTCAAAACTGTTAAAAATTAATTTCCGCCTGTACCGACTAATCTAAACTTAACTGAAGACCGATTTCGAGATTGACAACATTGCACTTCGAATTTAAGTGACAGCTAATCTGATAATCAGCTGCGCTTTATGGAGTATTAGTATTTATTGTGCCAACTATTATGTAATAATAAGGTGGATGCATCAAAACAAAATCATCTGTTTTTTATTCGACCATCTGTCAAAATTTATGTAGTAATATTTATCATGGTTGCCAACACTGCACGTCGAATTCATGCAGAAAGTATGCACATTGACAGTTAATCGGATAGTCAGTTCCGCTATATGCAAATTTAAGGAGATGTATCAAAACAAAAACTTTTGTTGTTTACCCGACCATCTGTCAAATTTTATCTAGTAATATTTCTCATGGTTGGCAATTCAAGTTGACTTACGCACATTGACAGTTAATCGAATCGTCAGCTGTGCTAAATGAATTACATATTTATTGTATCATGGTTGGGATAGTACATGATGCTATAATAAGGTGATGCATTAAAACAAAATCGTTTGCTTTTGTCTCGACCATCTGTCAAATTTTTCCATATAATATTTCACATGGTTGGCAACACTGCATATCGAATTCATGTAGAAAATACACACTTTGACAGTTAATAAAGTCATCAGCTGCACTAAATAGACTACCATGCATGACGCAATAATAAGGTGATGTATCACAACAACAACCTTTGTTTTTGTCTCGATTATCTGTCAAAATTTTCCATATAATATTTCAAATGGTTGGCAACACCGCATAACGCATTCAAGTAGAAATTACCCACTTTGACAGTTAATCAAGACATCAGCTGCGCTAAATGGACTACCTATTCATTATGCCATGCTACCATGGTTACGATAGTATATGCTAATTAACCGATTAGTCGCAATTCAACCTACGTATCCCTATTCATAATATAAAGTATACACACGTCCAGTTTGCCGGGCGTATTTACACTGAAGTGTTTTATGACAAATTGTGGCTTATGTTGTCATTTCCTTGGTATATATGTCTAATTTCGTAAGAAAAGTTTGGTGTAAATGTACGCTTAGGTTTTTGGTCCTGTGCTAGTTTTTGTCTGCCATTGATTAAGAATTCATGAATTCACTGTTGTTGGAAAGTCAGTAGCCGATAAAAAATTTGACAGTTCAAACACATAGTGCTTACAACTTTTTTGAGAATCGAATAGCAAATTGCATGAAAATATCTGAAATATATGTTAATTATCAAAAATATAAAAATGTTACTTAAAGAAATGCATCTTGTATTATTCAAAATAAAATGTTTAAAATTGTGATTTAAAATATTTAAAACTGTAACTTGTAGTATGCTGGTCATTGAATCAGCTGACGAAAAGAACAGCTGTCCGTATTTCACATTTTAACTGGAAAAATGTCTCTAGTGACAGCTTCTAAGATGTCAATGTGACATTCTCAATTCGCTTCTATGTATCTGAAATTTTCTTTCTAACGAACGATCAATTGCAAGGCCTAATAATAAGTTCATCCAGGGAGACCTGCTGGATATAAGCTACCTCTAAAATTTGCTTTCAAAAACCGAATTGACTTCCAGTGTACATTTTTTAGACTTGAGATAAAACAGTTGACTTTCGCTTATTATTTTTAATAGATCTTGATCAATTCCAATATTTAGCTTCTTCAGCATTTATTTACTCTCTCTCCCTCTCTTTTATGCACATTTTTCCATCAATGTCTTTCTCAATTTTAGCTCAGAGAATTTTAAATGTCTCTCTTAATTTTCCATCGCTTACCTGCCTTAACTACCATTTGCATTTTTGATCTCACCCAATAATGAGGCACCACCATGATGATCCGTATCCACTTCATCCAGATCATCATCGTCACCGACCAAATCCGGTTTACGTTGTGTGAACAGAAACACTTCCATATTATCTTTACCCTTCACATAAACACTACCTCGCGGCTCAAATTCATATTTTGCTTCCAAAAATTGTAGACAATCTTTACCCACCTGGATACGATTCGAAACGCCGGTAGAGTCCATGCGTGATGCCACATTGACGGCATCACCCCAGATGTCGTAATGGAGTTTACTGGTGCCAATGACACCGGCGGTAACATCTCCCACATTAAAGCCAATACGCAAAATTAAATTAAATTCCAACAGATCTTTGTTGAAGGCGTCGACCACACCTTGCATGGCTATGGAGAATTCCATAAGGGCGTGAATGTGTTCATTGCCATCACCACGATGTTTGGGATCTAGGCCACTGGCGGCCATAAAAGTGGAACCAATTGTCTTGATTTTTTCCACACATTTAAATTCGGGCCTCGAGAGTAGCTCATCAAAATCGCCAATGAGTTCGTTGAGTACCCGCAGATATTCCTTGCCACCCAAATAACTTTCATCATACATTTCATTAAAATTTACAATGGAGGCGAAAATAATGCCCACATTGTGATGATTTTCCGAATATTTGGCGGTATTTTTTAAATGTTCCGCCACATGTTTGGGTATAATGTTGTGTAGCAACATATCGGCTTGATTTTTCATATTTTGTACGCGGATTTTATCCTGATTGGCCACAGCATTGCCATAGAATGTCAAACGATAGCCAATTTCAAATTCACGATTTAGAAACCAGACGAGTACCAAGATAAGGAAGAGATCCAAATAGATCTCCACATGATAGTCTTGGAACCATTTTATTTCTTCTATAATGTAATTCAAAGCAGCCTTGGAATTAATAGGGATGTGGGTTACATTCAGTAAGGCTTCAGAGGCTTCATGGGCATCGGTGCGATTCGAGTAGACCAGTAGCTGGGATACGGCAATGCCGATAAAACACATGGCTGCCATAAAGGCTAAAATATTCCGCATCCAACAGTTCAGTTGGGTGAAATTACAAAAATGCACGATGCAAACGAATATCAGGAACCCATAATGATATTCAAAAGCCTCCAATTCATTTAGATCCAATAGCAGGAAATTGGCTATAATCAGAATCACCGGCATGGCCATGAGAACGGCCAGGCAGATATGCCAAGGATACCAGCTGGAAATGGCCTCGAATATACGATCCGCACACGATTCGGAATTTGTTATTTTCGAACGAGTATGTGACGATTGCCGCCGACACATTTGCCGGGTAAAAAGAAACAAGGCAAAGACCTGTATTGCCGTAAAGCACGTGAACAAGGAGACCCATAATCGGAAACTTGGAGTCATGGTGTTGGGGGTAATCAAAAACAGCGATATCGAGATACACAAATATACCGCCAGACCCACAAAGATGTCAATGTAGGTGTTATACCGTGGTGTGGCCAACGTCGGAGGTCCTTCCGTTTCATTTTCATTGCCAAACCGATGGGCCTTCGAACGAAAATCTCGCTCCATCTGCCGTGACTTAAAATACAAACTAAATCTCCTCAGCGGAGGCTTGACTAGATAACTCCTTTGGGATTTGGCATTATCGCGAACACAGCGTATCAGCTGAAGATCCGATTGTTTGCGTAATTGTTGTAAACAAGCGGCCAGCGGATCAGCAATCTGACCCGTTGAGCCGGGATGTGAAGATGGCAAGGGAGGTAGTGGCACATGAGGTAAAGTTTGTGCATCGCCCAGATTGGAGATGCTGGAAGTGGAGCTTGTAAAATAGCCCGATACCCTGTGGGTACTAATGGCGGTCTGGTTGAGGGCATAGATCTGTTGCTGTATGGAAGATCTGCGGGAATTACTTTTGATGCCGGAATCTTTGCGGGAGGTGGCCGAGGGACATATGCTCAAGCCATCGGGCCAAATGCTGGAGTTACGTGAGTGTGTGGGTGGGGCGGCAGGTGTGGAGATTCCCGGTACAATGAGCGGCTGGCAGGGATTATTTCCCGCACCTCCTCCGCCACCAGATGGCGTTAAAGCCACTCCTGCTGATGCCAAGGCAGCTGCTGCTCCCTCCGCCTTATTTGTCGTCAAGGTGGCTGCCCTGGGTCTCGGCAAAGGAGAAGTTTCTGATTGTCCACTACGGCCACACTGCGAACGATAACTGCCCGAGCGGCCAAACGGCGAAATATCACTTCTCGACTGGCTAATATACGAACGTATATCAATGATGTCATCGAACATGGAATATTGGCCGGGTGAACAACAGCTGGCATCTGGCGAACGATTAACACTTGAGCAGATCGCCGTTGAGGTGGCCACATGATGCAGCATGGGTTTTTGTGGTATCTCCAACATGTTCGGATTCGATTTGGTATTTTCAATTACCACCGGTAGTTGTTGATAGCCATTTGGTTCGATAAAGGCCACCGATTCTTCATTCGATCCCGTCGCCGTTGCCGTTGTCGGCGTCTTTGGTCCATTACTCATTAAACTAATACTAACATCGGTACTGGTAGACTTGTCCTGCATTTTCGTTTTCTCCTCGAATTTCTTTAAAAATCTCGGCACCTTCCATACCTTCAGGCGTATCTTCGGTCGTGCCGCAGCTGCCGAGGAACCATTTGCCAAATGCCTTGATTTTCCATTGGCCGTGGGCAAAATCTCCTCATTACCCACCTCATTTGGATCGTTTTCCGAATCTAAACTACCCGGTAGACTTTTGGTTGTAATTATAATCTTTGGTCTTTCACGGCACACTATGACGGGTGGTATACCCGCTGCAGCGGGATGGATGATACCACGTTCGATATCACATTCGCGTGATTGTGATTTTTTACGCAGCTTCATACTCAACGATGTCAGTCTTGGTCGTATCGAAAGGACTGGTGAAGGATTGAGGGAGGATGACAGCTGACCCACCGGAGATGCAGGGGGTACATTTGGATGTATTACCGATATATTGGTAGCACTGTGTGATAGAGATCCGGTTTGTCCCTGTATGCCGGGTAACATGAGATGGCTGCCGTTCGAGTTGACATGAATGCTGGGGCAGATGCTATTCGTTCGGGAGATATCTTTTCTGCGGCCCACCACAAAGTAGGTTCGATGGCCTGGAAGAGAAGAGAGGCATGAGAATGGTTAATTTTAAGGTTTCTGAAAATATTATTCGGCTTTTTGAACCGGTTAATCGGTTCAGCATATTGAATTACAGAAGAAAATATAAAAAATAAATTCGGAATAGGATTCGGTTATTTTATAACCGGTTATTCGATTTCTTGTAATCGGTTACTCGGGTTTCGGATTAATAATCTTAAAAATAAGAATGTTATATGTTAATATTTAATTTATTTGATTTTTTGGCCGGCATTCGGTTATTTTATAACCAGTTATTCGGTTTTCTGTAACCGGTTAATCTTTTTTCGACTAAAAATTTTAAAAATAGGAATGTTATATGGTAATATTTAATTTATTGGATTTTCTGACCGACATTCGGTTATTTGATAACCGGTTATTTGGCATTCTGTAACCGGTTACTCGGTTTTCGGACTAAAATATGTAAATATAAAAATGCTATATTTTAAGATTTAATTTATTGGATTTTCGGATATTTTATAACAAGTTATTCGGTTTTCTGTAAGCGGTTACTCGTTTCTCGGACTAAAACCTCTAAAAATAAGAATGTTATAAGTTGGAATTTAATTTATTGGATTTTCTGACCATCATTCGGTTATTTTATAACCGGTTATTCGGTTTTTTATAACCGATTACCCGGTTTTCGGAGTAATAATTTAAAAAATATTAATTTTATATGATGGTATTTAATTTATTTGATTTTCTGACCAGCATTAGGTTATTTTATAACCGGTTATTCGGTTTTCTGCAACCGGTTATTCAGTTTTCTGTAACCGGTTACTCGGTTTCGGACTAAACATTTTAAAAATATGTATGTTACTTACCAAAAACCTCTTCCCCCTCATCCAGATAGTAAGCTTCCCCCAGAAAACTGGCCGTTACCTCGGATATATGGACTTGTTCGGGTTTACCTGTTGATTCCATTCTGCAATAAAAAAAATATTTATATTGGAGTCAAATAAAAAATGTTTCATATTCCAAACCCGGTTACTTACTTATTTGCCAATGATACATCATTACTCCAAACATCGAATTTAACCCGGCGCGTTCCGACAATACCACACAAAACGGTGCCGGTGTGGACACCAACTCGCATCTTAACACCTTCATGGCGTTGAGCATCAAATGTTCGCATCGCATCAATCATACCTAAACCCATCTCCACACAACATATCGCATGATCCGGTCGGGGTTCTGGGCACCCCGATACACAATAATAACAATCACCCAATGTGGAGATTTTTTCGCAACCATTAAAGGTACACAGGCTATCGAAACGTTCAAAGAGATCATTAAGAATTTCCACCAACTGCTCGGCGGTTTTTGTCGAAGACATCCGAGTGAAACCGACAATATCAGCGAAGAGGATACTGACATTATCCATGCTATGCATATGGAAGGGACGAAATAACGATTTGACATCATTGGAGGGTCTTGGTCGCATATAGTGGGATTCCGGCTTTATACTACCATCGTTGTTACCATCAATGCCACCTTCGTTGAGCAGCATATCCGCCACCTTGGGTGGCATAACGGAATGTATCATTTTCTCCTTCAATTGCTTCTCCATTTCCAACTGCCGTCTGACTAGGAGATTCTGACCGACCTTCATAAATGTACCACGCATACGAACTAAATTCATTACCAATACATGTAAGCCCACCAGGTGGACACAAAAATGGCATAGAATTCGTAGGACGAGAATTTTATAACTAAAATCTTCTTGAGCTCCATGTACAGCATTTCCGGCCACCACAATGTGGGTAACCACTTCGAAGAGTACGGTGTAGGTTATGGCTATTAGGGCGCTAAGCCACAGTGTCATTGGCAAGGCGGTATAGATGAGCAGGACAATTTCCAGACATATGGCAAAATGTCCCAGGGGACTAAAAGCCCTTCCCGTATAGGTAAGAAATGCTAGGGAGGTGGCACACAGGAGTGCGGCGGTTAGGGCTGATGTGACAACATGATTTGCCCTATACATATCCCAGTGGGTAAAACACATGGCCATGATTGTTATTAGCGATAGCAGTGAAAAGGAACTTGATATAGGACGCCAAAAATCTTCGGAACCACCATCGACAAGGAAATACAGGAACCATGCCAGCGAACAGAGTAGAATGTAGGAGAGGGCAAATCTGGAAAGAGAGGGAGAACGAAAGAGAACAAATATTAAAATTAATTTTTCAAATTTTTATCAAGGCCTAACACAAGTCGTTGATTTTTAAAAAAAAAAATGTTAGGTGTGCATTTTTAAAAATATTTTTATTGGCCTACCATAAAGGGTGACGAGGGGATGATAGATACAGTAGAACTTCGATAATTCGTACCTCGATAATTCGTAATCTTCGATAATTCGTAACAAACTATCGGTCCCTTGAAAAAATCTCGATATTTCGTAAAATTTACACGCATTTTGGTCCCCTCGAAAAACCTCGATATTCGTATTTTTTATTTTAACCTCGTTAATTCGTAAACTCGATCATTCGTAATCTTCGATAATTCGTAAAAATTTGCTGATCCCTTGAATTACGAATTATCGAAGTTCTACTGTACCAAGAAACGGCTCTGATTGGCTTTAACATCTCAATTGTGGACACTGACCTCCCCGCGGTGTCACCTGGAGTAGCTATTTTCATCACCCGTTGAAATAGTGAGCTAATATGTGCCGCAAGTTCAACCATAAGAACTATAAACAAATGGGTTGAGGCGCCGGGTTAGTTGCCCACACTCGGAAAACCCCTCCTACTATGAAAAAGGAAAGAAAATGAAAACAAAACCCCCCTAATGTTGACGACCCCCGCAAACGTATAAAGGACAACGATCTGCGAACCTGCACTTGGAATGTGCGCACGTTGTACAGAACAGGCGCAGTTTTCGCTTTGGCGGAAACTGCGATATTATTGCCTTACAGGAAATGCGATGGAAAGGGACTGGCGTAAGTAAATCAGATGATTACGCCCTATATTATAGCTGCCCTGTATATTTGCGCCCATGCTTCGACCGAAGATAAAGATGAACAGACTAACGACATATTTTACGAGCGCCTAGAAACAGCATATGACCATTGCCCTTGCCATGACATTAAAATTCTGCTAGGAGATTTTAATGCAAAAATCGGAAGGGAAAATATCTGTGGCGCCACCGTCGGAAAATTCAGCCTCAATGAAGAAACATCAGACAACGGCATGAGGTTGATTGACTTCGCGGCAACAAAAAATACGGCAGCACCAGATTCAAGAATCTCGATATACACAAGGCCACTTGGATTTCTCCCGATCGAACAACGAGAAATCAAATCGATCATGTTGTGATAGACGGAAGGCATTCATCCAGTATTTTAGACGTATGATCTATCCGAGGAGCGAATATCGATTCGGACTATTACCTTTTGGCAGCCAAGGTACGCACCCGTCTTAATGTAGCAGCAAAGGTGCGATCTAATGTAGCACGGAAATTTGACGTCGAAAAGCTGGAAACACAACCGATAGCAAAAGCCTACTCAACTTACCCAACTGCTTGACGAAAGCACCCCTTGCCCCGATAATAATATAGAAACACAGTGGCAGAGAATTGCCCACGCCCTACAAACTGCAGCAAAAGCAACAAAGACCACCATCAAGAAATCCGTTGTACGATCAGAAGTGTCGTAATGCTACTGATGTGAAAAACGCAGCGTATAGGGCAGCCCTGCGAATAGTAATACGATGGAGAACTATCGGGAGAGAGGAGAACCGTGTTTTCAGAAAAAAGAAGAAAGAACAAGAAAAAAGTGAGCGTGAGCAAATCGAGATGTGCAGGAGTCAGAATGAAGTACAGAAATGTAACAACTAGTAAAATACCAAACCGAAGGTTTTGATGCAGGCACATCCTCCTAGAGATAAAGAAGGAAACCTAGTGACAGATACAGACAGCGTGTTTAGGATCTGGAAGGAGCATTTTGAAAAGCTTCTGGTGTCAAATAGTGGCGGTGAAGAAGATACCCCAGAACCAATAAGAGATTATGGTATAGAGTGTATACCACCTAGCCAAGATGAAGTCAGAATAGCAATCAATCGGCTGAAGAATAAGCAGCAGGTGCCGATGGCTTACAAGCCGAACTATTCAAGACTGGTGGTCAGATGCTGGTAAGGAGAATGTACCAGCTGATTAGTACAATTTGGCTAGAAAAATGCATGCCCAATGATTGGAACCTCAGCATCCTGGGTCCCGTGCACAAAAAAGGAGACAAGACGATATGTGCCAACTATAGAGGAATTAGCCTTCTTCGCATCGCATATAAAGTGCATTCCAGTGTGCTGTGTGAACGATTGAAGCCAATGACATTATTGGACCATACCAATGCGGCTTCAGACCTGGCAAATCCACCATTGACCAGATTTTCACTCTGTGCAAAATCCTGGAAAACACTCACCAAAAACACATCAACACATACCACCTATTCGTCGTCTATAAAGCCGCATTCGACTGCCCTATCCTTTCAGACGTCTTTAAAGCCACGTCTACGTACGCCATTCCTGCAAAATTAATACGGCTATGCAGGACAACTTTAAGTGGCACAAGGTCAGAAGTTAACGTCGGAAAGGACATATCGGAGCCCTTCAATACTGAACGAGGATTCAGACAAGGTGACAGTTTGTCGTGTGATCTTTTTAACATCCTGCTAGAAAAGGTCATATGAGACGCAAAGGTGAACAGAAATGGCACTCTGTACACCAAACAACACATGTTACTCGCCTACGCCGATGACATCGATATAATGGGTCGAACATTGCGAGCGGTAACAGCCACCTTTGAACAAATTCGGTAGGAGTCTGCCGAATTGGGTCTGGCAGTAAACGACGAGAAGACCAAGCTGATGTTATCAACGCGCAAGACGTCCAGTAGAATCGGACCAACTGTGGAACTTGAGAACTACTGCTTCGAGGTAGTTAAATATTTTATATACCTTGGTGACATCAGTCTTGAAATTCGGAGAAGGATTGTGATGGCCAACAGATGAAGCACGGGTACTTGCGCAAGCAGATGAGGAAGCTCCTGGGGTGTTTGAAAGAAAAATTCTCCGAAAGATCTACGGGCCTATCTGCGTCGACGGTGAATATCGGCGTCGAATGAACCACGAGCTTTACAATTTATACGCGGACATCGACATAGTCAGTCGTATTGTAAGTACCATAAGGCGTAGATTTAAAAAAATATATTTTTTCTTGGCCTACCATAAGGCGTGGATTTTTAAAGATTTTTTTCTTGGCCTACAATAAGGCGTGGATTTTTAAAGAATATTTTTTCTTGGCCTACCATAAGGCGTGGATTTTTAAAGAATAGTTTTTCTTGACCTACCATAAGGCGTGGATTTTTAAAGAATAGTTTTTCTTGACCTACCATAAGGCGTGGATTTTTAAAGAATAGTTTTTCTTGACCTACCATAAGGCGTGGATTTTTAAAGAATAGTTTTTCTTGACCTACCATAAGGCGTGGATTTTTAAAGAATAGTTTTTCTTGACCTACCATAAGTCGTGGATTTTTAAAGAATAGTTTTTCTTGACCTACCATAAGTCGTGGATTTTTAAAGAATAGTTTTTCTTGACCTACCATAAGGCGTGGATTTTTAAAGAATAGTTTTTCTTGACCTATTAAATTGATTTTAAATGTTTCATTTTAATATTATTAAACTTAAGTATCATCATAACCTATTTAATGAGAAAACCAGTAACTCAAATGGTGTCTAAAGAAATAATCCTCCATAATGAGCGATTCGGAGACGTGACAGAAGTTGAAATTATAAAATATTAAAAAAAGTTAACTGTCACCATAAAAATGTCTACTCGTGTCGATCATTAGTTATTTGCAGTAATCTAAACTAATTTCCTCCGCCTCACCACCAGCACCATCACCACAGAAACTTATTATTGCTAATTAGCAGCAATTAAAAGTTTTCCACAGAGTATCAGAGAATTTAATAAGAAAAAAAAATAAATGCTGTAAAATAAGTTGAAGGGGGGGGGGAAGAATAAGAAAAACATTTTTTTTAAGATTTTCTTAAGATTAAATGTTAATAAGGAAAAACGAGTAACTAAGGGAGTATTAACTGTTCAGGTTGGTGTTGGTGACACCATTAACTAAGTGGTAAACCTATTTACCAACTAACCATCATTATTGGCACACAAGATGTGGGGGGAGAAGTAATGTGGTAAATTAATGCTTGACCATCATACCACAATGTTGCTAATTATCGGAAGTTGCAAGGTAAGGCAGGTAGTATAAGAAACCCCTCAAAGAGAACTGGAAGCAGGAATGGCAGAGGGAAACGCCATGAGGACAAAGCCATCACTACGTAGAAGCTCGGTTAAGGGGAGGGCGAATAAGTTTGGCCTTCAGAACACAAAGAAAATATTTCTCAATGAGAAATATTGTCTTCCTGGAAGGTGGCAAAAATCTGGGGGTCAAACTAATCGAATTCCAAAGTAAATATCCCTATACCTTATTTCAAATTTTTAACGCGTCTTAAATAATTTGTAAAGCTTTAATCCAAACAATATGAACTAATTACTGTTCATTCGCCATGAGTCGATGTGTAATTACATTCACCATTTATTTGCCACCTCTGATTAATTTCCCATGATACGTTTTTTGCTGCTGCTGTTGTTGTTGTCTGAAGTCTGGAAATGGCGACACATTTTTTCCAGAGCCTATTTGCCAATTGCTAACCTGGGGGATATTTTCTGTCTGTATGTTAAGCTTTAATTGTAAATACATGTTGGGTAATTAACTTAAAATGCTATTGTCTGTGTGTGTGCGGATACTATGAGGAACAGTGGGAGATAGTTCTAAAGGGGAAAATATTAATTCCCACAACAAATTTTTTTCAAGGTCTTATAATAGGCGTGGAATTTTTCAAGGCGTGTATTTTTAAAGAATATTTTTTCAAGACCTACCACAAGGCGTGGATTTTTTAAAGAATATTTTTTCAAGGCCTACCACAAGGCGTGGATTTTTTAAAGAATATTTTTTCAAGGCCTACCACAAGGCGTGGATTTTTAAAGATTAGTTTTTCAAGGCCTACCACAAGGCGTGGATTTTTAAAGATTAGTTTTTCAAGGCCTACCACAAGGCGTGGATTTTTTAAAGAATATTTTTTCAAGGCCTACCACAAGGCGTGGATTTTTTAAAGAATATTTTTTCAAGGCCTACCACAAGGCGTGGATTTTTTAAAGAATATTTTTTCAAGGCCTACCACAAGGAGTGGATTTTTTAAAGAATATTTTTTCAAGGCCTACCACAAGGCGTGGATTTTTTAAAGAATATTTTTTCAAGGCCTACCACAAGGCGTGGATTTTTTAAAGAATATTTTTTCAAGGCCTACCACAAGGCGTGGATTTTTTAAAGAATATTTTTTCAAGGCCTACCACAAGGCGTGGATTTTTTAAAGAATATTTTTTCAAGGCCTACCACAAGGCGTGGATTTTTTAAAGAATATTTTTTCAAGGCCTACCACAAGGCGTGGATTTTTTAAAGAATATTTTTTCAAGGCCTACCACAAGGCGTGTATATTTAAAGAATATTTTTTTCAAGGTCTACCACAGGGTGCGGATTTTTAAAGAATATTTTTTTTAAGGCCTACCACAGGGCGCGGATTTTTAAAGGCCTACCACAGGGCGCGGATTTTTAAAGATTAGTTTTTCAAGGCCTACCACAGGGCGTGGATAAGTTCCATTTTTTCCATTTGCTCTAAACATAAAACTTGTACAATATTCCTGGCATATGTTTAACTCCCCAGGCGGCCAAAAACCAAACAACTATAAACATGACTATATAGACACACATTTACAACACATTCCTAACATATGTCTATATGTATGTGTGTATTTATTCCCTATATGTATTTGTGCTCTGTACACAGTACTTTAATAAGTAATGTTTTTTCTCTCTCTCTCTCGTTTGGTTCCTGTTAACTTTATGACTTAACTTTTTGCATTATAATGCATATTGTTGTGCCATTGTCGTCGTCCTAGTGATAGTTAGAGGTGTTTACCGTAGGATAGTTAGATCGTTATTTTACGTGAACATTGTACTTAAACATGTTGGTAATATGGACATGTCTACTTGGGGCTGGTTTATGCTTTAAATTCTTAATAGGTTAACACAGAAAGTACCATAAAATACTCGTACTATTTTGTTGAGGTAGTGTTGCAATGTTAACCATTAAAGAAATGGGTTGATTTTGTTGTTTCAGTTTTCTACCTTTCCAATGTTGGTTGGTGTGAATTGGTGGCAACGACCTCCCGGGTGGTTTGCGAAATAAAGGAAAATTACAAAAGGAAATGAAGGCAAACAAGAAAAACTGTATTGTTGTTGCAGTAAGTACGGTTAGTGGGATATTAAAGTTTGTTAATTTAAATTTAATGGATCGTTGGCAGTGTTTTTTAAACTAAAATTGTATAGAGATCATGATAAAAATATCTAAGAAACATACTTTCTGAGTATTCTATTCTATAGAATTATTTTGACTCTATAATTTAATATAACTTTCTATTCCTTACCTTAATTCTAATTATTTATTTGCAATATTTTGCATTAAAAATCCAAAGATTCTCCTATTGCGTATACAGTTTGTCAATACGTATACGCATACATGACCCCAATATGGTGTGAATTAGTTTTCTCTCAATATGTGACTATTTAGAGGGTTCCTATAGAGACTTCTTATATATTGAAGGACTTCTAGAATCATTCTAAAAAAGAATGAATAATATGAAATGGTTTTTAATGTATTAAAGACATGTAAATATAAAATAACACAGGCAAACCTTCTATAGATATTTCTCTCTAAATAGAAAAAAATTCAGATATGAAATTTTTAAGAATATATCTGCAAGGTATTCCACAAGTTGTACATTTTTAAAGATTATTTTTTCAAGGGATACTAAAGCGGTGAATTTTTAAACAGCATTTTTCCGTTGTGGATTTTTTAGAACATTTGTTCGATGTATATAAAATGGGATTTTTTTTAATATGTGTTGAAGATCTATTTGGGATATTTGGTTCGATTTTTAATAATATTTGATTAAGGCATACTACAAGCATGGATTATTAAAGAATACGTTAGCTAAAATGCAAAAAGGCGTAACTAACAAAAGCATAATTGTGTAGGAGAAGCATAAACTGTTTTGAATGAAAACTATAAACATGTCATGTGAAATGAAAAAGTATGCCCGGCAGGGTGATATTGCATATGACGAATAATAGACTATAAGTTTTTTTTTAACAAATTTAGTTATTTAGTTTAATGGCAGTCATCATTAATGGCAGCCTTTTTGCGTTTATCAAATAAACCCACTTGTAGTTGGATAATTATACACTCAGATTTATGGCTAAGTATAATTATCCATTAAAAATTTCTGAAATTTGTATTATGGTTTACATAATCCGTTTTTAGAAATGTCGGTATAGGTCCCCTTTTTTGTATGTTCCCTATATTTTCATTTCTAGTACCTGTCAGTATATCTATGGTGGAGGGTATCCAAAGTTCGCCCCGACCGAACATACCGCTTTCTCACTTGTTTTTTTATTATATTTATTATCAACATATTTCATGATTGTGTACACTACTTGTCAATACTTATACGCCCCAATGTCTTTACTATGATTTGAAATGTACGTCTCTTAATACAAAACGATGTGGAGGTCTCCTATAGGAAAAAACTAATAGAAGTTTTCTATATAATGAAGAGTTTCTTATGGCATTCTTATACTAGGTATATCATTGTCAATACTTATACGCAACAATGTCCCAAATAGGGTTTGAAATTTATTCGTCTTAACAGATGAGAAGGTTCCCATAGAAAAAAAATAGAGGCCTTCCTATAAATAATCTAGAATTTGAAAATGCTTTGAAAAAATTTAAAGAAAAAATATGACAATTAAATCTTCTATAGGTATTACTCTCTGAATGGAATAGTTTTCAGAGTACTCCTAAGATTTGATATATATATATATATAAGGAAAATGTTGAGAAAAATTTTGTAAGACCCGAAATTTTCAATTTGGCACATCGTAATGAATTAGGTATATAATGATGTGTGTTAAGTTTCCTGAAAATCGGTTCAGATTTAGATATTGCTCCAATATATGTTTTATTATATATTTTTTCTTCCGATATTATGTAAATTGTGCACTAAAGACCCAAATATTGTCCGATTGCTACACAATTTTGTACTGTACTGTAGTTAATATAAGTTAATCTCTGGCAAGTCTCGTTGAAATCGGTTTATATTTAGATATAGCTTCTATATCTGACCAAATGAAAAAATTAGTATAGGTTGCAGAATGACATTTTACTGTTGAATATACCCAAAGTGGTGAAGGGTATCATATAGTCGGCCCCGTCCGACTTTACTACTTTCCTTACTGGTTAAGCATATCAAGGGCTATCAAAGGAGTGGATTTTCAAAAGTCTACTGAAGTTGGGATTCCTTAAGTATATTTTTTAGGTCTGTCAGAAGGCGTGGCTTTGTTAAGAATAGGTCTGCCATAAGGCGTGCTGTGATTTGCATTGATAATTAAAACCAAAACCCAAATTGCGTATACTTGTTGTCAATACTTATACGCACCAGTGCCCTTAGTAATGTTTGAAACTATCTTCTTTATATAAAAGATAATATAGAGACTTAGAAAATAAAGTAGAAAAAATATAGGACAAATGAGACTTTCTATATACTGACGGGTTTCTATAGTACCTCTTGTTTAGATCGAAGCTGTTGTAAATTCTTCAATGTATTAAAAACTTGTACACATAAAATAGAAAAATTAATCTTCTACAGATATTCTTCTTTAAGTCGAAATTTTTTAGAGAACTTATATAAATATAATATACCATTAAGGTCGCGATATATATAATATATCATTTTAAGGTCGCGATATTGAACATATGTGTTATAGGTAAACAAATCTTTTAGAAGCGTTCTACAGATTCACGAATTTTTGGTGCTTTATAGGCAGCAAAAATTGTCTACATCTTTAAAGCAAAGATGGTATTCAATAAAAAGGCTTCCCAAGTTTTCTATTGAAATCAAAGATCAATCGTCACAATGAAAACGTCTCAGCAACGCATCTTTGCTATTCATTCAAAATTATTGGAATTTGCAAAAAATAATGCGGACATTTTTGGGTGACTATTTTTTCCCTGACAAGTTCCGGTATTGGAATGTAAATAAATAAAATCTTCCATTTTATTTCGTACTCACCGATATCTCATTCGTATATGTGAAAATACACTGGTCTGGAATTGTCCCTCAAGCACGGCCGAATCGAATTTCGGATCTAGCCATGAATTAGAGGCGGCACGTTCAAATGCAACGGGTAACATGACGCTGCAACAGGAATGACGACGACCCGTTTGACTTAAATAGGTTTGTATGTGGGGTGCTAAAACGATTTGTATGTCATCGGTGGAATTGTTACGACTGTCATTGGCTAAAACGCCGGGTGGCATGGCGGTGAAGCTGACTGATTGTCGACGCGACTGTAACGAACAAAGAGAGAGAATAAGTTAGAAATAATTTATAAGATGTTAAGAATTAAATAAAACACTGAAAATATTGCGGGACATTTAGAGACTATCAGGATAGTTAGGTATGCGATGATTCAGGGACAAGGATTAATTTTTTAATTACAGAAATCAATATTGAAAATTATTTCTTTAAACGAATTTTGAATTTTGGGTGGAATATTTATTAGTGATTTTTTATTTATTCTCTCTTATTTATTATTAATTAAAATTTAATTATCTAATTCTGAAATGTTCTTGCATTTCCTTCTTGAATATCTTTTCCACAATAAAAATCAATCAAATCCCTCCTAAAAGTATACTATATTGTATGTATTTCTATTTCTCCACTGATGCGTATACTTTACGCCAGCACTGATACGCTAGCCATTGCAATTGTATATCCGCTTTCATTGAATGGTTTCAATATCCAACACGTTAAATACATCCGACAATGGCTATTTAAAAGAATTTCCTGCACAGAATACGAAATTTAGCTTTAAGTGATTTTTCTAATTTCCTTTTTGAATGCGAGGGGAATTTTTTAATTTTGCTTTGACCTCATCATTCGGTCTGCATTCCTTTTCGCAAAACGAAAAAAAATCCCCATTCATTTATTGTAGTAGCATTCAATTAATTGCACTTAGCACCACTTGTAGTGTGCACTCTCACTCGTTTGCATCTTCAACATCCCTTCTTTCGCTCACTTTCGCTTCCTCTCTCCCCCTCGCCCTTCATCACTATTGTCCCATTCATCTCATTTCACATGCTCGAAGAACAACCAAAGCAATTAAAAGCCATTGCCTTTCACAATGGCTTCCTAATTTGTGTTCATGTTTTTTGTTGTTGTTGCTATTCCGTCAAAACCCTCTCCTACATCACTTCCTGAGTTCGGAAGTAGATGCTGTGTGAAGTGGAAACTAGACAGCTTCAGTTTATTGCTGCCGCTGATGCTACTGAAGTATCGAGTAAGCGTAATATTTCAAATTAGTGAAAGGATATTTAATATGAATGGGAAAAGTTGAAATGGATATTTTAGTTTTTTTTTTTTGGGAAGGCTAAGGAAAATTGGGAGAATTTTTAACACAATTATAACGAGTAATGTTTTGGAAAATTATATTAGAAAAGTTGAGAAAGATTGGGGGATATTATTTCATCATCATGTGATGAGGAATTATGGGTAACGGGAATTGAATGGATGTTGTTGGCGCAAAAGGGGGGAATATGGTGTGGATAGAGTGTCCGGATATTATGGACAAATATCTAATGCTTAGGAAATCCTAAAATTATATTTTTAAAAAAATGTTCGCCTATGGTAGGCCCTATAAAAATATTAAAAAAGACGCCTTATGGTAGACCTTATGAAAATATGTTTAAAAAAATCACCACCTTAGGTAGGTCTTGAAAATATTTTTGGAAATTCCACGCCTTGAAAAAAATCTGTGGCAGGCAATGAAAAAATATTTTTAAAAATCCACCTCTTACAGATATTATTTTTCTCTTCCCTTTCATCGAAATATTTCCCCTCGCCATCTCCCCCTTAGTCTATTGGCCAGCACTTTAGCTATTAAATCAAAATTTGTTTGGAATTTCCGAACAAATGATGCGGAAAACGTTGGTGTCTATTTACCCCCTTACTTAGTTCCGGTGTTGGTTTACATTTTTCGGTTTCTCCCCGAACGAACAGAAAAAAAGTTAAGCTGTTGTAACGGAATACCAACATTTCTCGGAAAGGAAATGGCGACAACGAACTAACACAACTTACTGCTATTAAGTTAACACAAAACCATTTCCGTTGAAATAAAAATACAAGAAGCAGGGAAGGGAATATACACAGACATACATTTGGATATAATATATTTTGTTGCAGATTTCTGACATACTTTATTTTTTCCAAGAACAACTAATTCTGCAGTAAGTGGCATAATTATCTCAAGAGGGTTGAGTGGTATATGCCAGACCAAATAGACGGAAATAAAACAAAGGATATATACAGGACCATGAAAAAAATTAGCTCGATTTTCTAAAGAATATTTTATCAAGGAGATTTTTTTAATTGAAAAAAATAAACGTTTGATTTTTTAAAGGACCTCACATGGGCGTGCATTTTTTTTAAATATTTTTAAAGAACCTCATCGACGTGAAGGTATTATAATAGGCGTGGATTTTTTAAAGAATATTTTTTTCAAGGCCTACCACAAGGCGTGCATTTTTTAAAGAATATTTTTTTCAAGGCCTACCACAAGGCGTGCATTTTTTAAAGAATATTTTTTCAAGGCCTACCACAAGACGTGGATTTTTAAAGACTATTTTTTCAAGGCCTACCACAAGGCGTGGATTTTTTAAAGAATATTTTTTTCAAGGCCTACCACAAGGCTTAGATTTGTTTAAATATATTTTCAAGGCCTACCACAAGGCTTGTTTTTGTTTTAATATGTTTTCAAGCCCTTTCGCAAGGTGTAGATTTTATACCCTACACAACTATGTTGTCCGGGTATTATAGATTTGAACCCCAAAATATTGGTCCTAGACCCACCTTTAAGTATACCGATCGTCATATCTCGACTAGTTGAGTCGATCTAGACATGTGTGTCCATCCGTCTGTCCATTATAATTTGTAAACACGATACGGGCCACAGTTACGACCAATCTTCATGAAATGTTGCATGTAGGATGGGTTCTGGTCAATGAAGACCCCTATTGATTTTGGTAAAGATTGAGTTATATTTAGGGGATGAAATGGACCAAAAACTTTATTTTTGTCTGATTTTCTGGTCACTCCAGAGGCCATAATTATAATCCAACCATCGCGAATTTTTACATGGAAAAGGGTATCGGGCCAAAGAATAAACATGCATTTTTTCATAAAGATCGGTCAATATTTAGTGGGTCAAATGGACCCCGACTTTTGTGTGAAAAATTGTGAAAAACTCGAGAAGTTGAACGCACATCCAAGGCACGTGGTTGACAATCAGATTTTTTTACGCACGATTTTTTTAAAAATATTTTACCATAATGGGTGGATTTTTTAAAAATATGTTTATTACCGGCCAGTTTTTTTAAAAATATTAAAAATATTGTTCCTCAACAATTGTAGATTAACCAAAAATCTACTTGACCAAGTAGCGATGACAACATTCTTGCAGAAAAAAATAATGGGTTTTATTGTTGAATTGTCCCCAAACTCCTCAAACTATAACTTGTCTGTGTGTTTTGTGGTTTTTTCCCATCCATAAAATAGAAAGCAGCACACATACACACACACACACACAATGATATTCGCTTAATCAAACATCAACCAACCACCCTCTTTCGAGTGACGCCTATCTACGATATGGCTTCATTTTGCCAACCTGCTTCGCAATTCATAATTGCAGTATGTGAAACATTTTTTTTACTGCAATCCTATTTTTTGTTTGTTTTGCGTTTAGAGGCTATAGAGGCCAGGATATCATGTGAATATGTGTGTGTTGTCCTGTCCAGGCTGGCACTTCAAACAACACGAGTCACCACTAACCTAGCCAGTAAAGCATTCAACCGAACAATGGCAGAAGGCAGCTATCAAAGCTCTAAAGACCAAAGCTACCAGTCGGACCACCGCCATAACAAGGGCAACAGTGTGTTTTTTTCTTTTGTTGTTGATGAGATTGGTTTTGGCTATTTATGTACAGCCATCCATGTGTGTGTGAGTGTTTGTGTGTGAGCTACTAACCGTTTTGGCGAACGCGTGTTTGCATTACAGGCGAATAACTTTGTCCTGGTGCAACAAAACAGCTCTATTTTAATGTCCACTAACATTTGGACCGCAAACCCATGCAATGACGACGACCAACAACAACAGCAATAACAACACATACACACACAAACAAAAACACATTGTGTCCATCGAAAAAGTTAGGTCACAACTGGCTGTTGTTTTGTGTAATATTTATCCACTTGTTTATGTGTGTGTGTGTATGTATGTGTTTGTACAGATGAATTATTTATATACTTGTCTCTGAAAAATATTCTTTAAGAAATCCGCGCCTAAAGGTAGTCTCTGAAAAATATTCTTTAAGAAATCCGCGCCTAAAGGTAGTCTCTGAAAAATATTCTTTAAGAAATCTACGCTTCTTATAGGATCTGAAAAATATTCTTTAAGAAATCTTTAAGAAATCAACGCCTAAAGGTAGTCTCTGAAAAATATTCTTTAAGAAATCCACACCTAAAGGTAGTATCTGAAAAATATTCTTTAAGAAATCTTTAAGAAATCAACGCCTAAAGGTAGCCTCTGAAAAATATTCTTTAAGAAATCCACGCCTAAATGTAGTCTCTGAAAAATATTCTTTAAGAAATCAACGCCTAAAGGTAGCTTCTGAAAAATATTCTTTAAGAAATCCACGCCTAAAGGTAGCCTCTGAAAAATATTCTTTAAGAAATATTTAAGACATCAACGCCTAAAGGTAGCCTCTGAAAAATATTCTTTAAGAAAAAAATATTCTTTAAGAAATCTTTAAGAAATCCACGCCTAAAGGTAGTCTCTGAAAAATATTCTTTAAGAAATCCACGCCTAAAGTTAGTCTCTTTAAAAATATTCTTTAAGAAATCCACGCCTTGTATTGGTCCTCTTTAAAAATATTCTTTAAGAAATCCACGCCTTAAAGTAGTCTCTGAAAAATATTCTTTAAGAAATCCACGCCTTAAAGTAGTCTCTGAAAAATATTCTTTAAGAAATCCACGCCTTAAAGTAGTCTCTGAAAAATATTCTTTAAGAAATCCACGCCTTAAAGTAGTCTCTGAAAAATATTCTTTAAGAAATCCACGCCTTAAAGTAGTCTCTGAAAAATATTCTTTAAGAAATCCACGCCTTAAAGTAGTCTCTGAAAAATATTCTTTAAGAAATCCACGCCTTAAAGTAGTCTCTGAAAAATATTCTTTAAGAAATCCACACCTAAAGGTAGTCTCTGAAAAATATTCTTTAAGAAATCCACGCC